TTTTCAAATCACCACTTGCAGCCATGTCAATAATAAATATGTTGTATGGCTTTTCAAATCACCACTTGCAGCCATGTCAATAATAAATTTGTTGTATGTCTATTCAAATCACCACTTGAAGCCTTGTCAATAATAAATATGTTGTATGTCTATTCAAATCACCACTTGAAGCCATGTCAATAATAAATATGTTGTATGGCTTTTCAAATTACCACTTGCAGCCATGTCAATAATAAATTTGTTGTATGTCTATTCAAATCACCACTTGCAGCCATGTCAATATTAAATATGTTGTATGGCATTTCAAATCACCACTTGCAGCCATGTCAATAATAAATTTGTTGTATGTCTATTCAAATCACCACTTGCAGCCATGCAAATATTAAATATGTTGTATGGCTTTTCAAATTAACACTTGAAGCCATGTCAATTTTAAATATGTTGTATGGCTTTTCAAATCAACACTTGCAGCCATGTCAATATTAAATATGTTGTATGGCTTTTCAAATCACCACTTGCAGCCATGTCAATATTAAATATGTTGTATGGCATTTCAAATCATCATTTGCAGCCATGTCAATAATAAATTTGTTGTATGGCTTTTCAATTATCAAATGTAGCTATATAAATATTGGGGTTGAAAAGTACACATGCAGTAGTTTTACGTGCATCTTTGTGGTACTACTGTGTTATATTATGCTAACTGACTTGCAGATGGGGAAAAACAAATTATCCACCTACCTATATCTCCTAGTAAACACATAAACTCACTAAACTTTTAGACTAATTTTCAATCTATTTTGGGTTGCATTACTTTTAAAATGTTTTGCAATATCAGCTCTCTGTTGAATGCCGTCTTTTAAATAAATTTGTGTCAGATAGTATGGGATCTATATCAAAGGTTCATGGCCATGATCTCTTTTAAATTTGCTTATAAACACACAGTAGATAAAATACACCTTGTTTGTCTCCTAACCTTGCCCCCATATTTGAAGCAAAACATATTCACTAATGTTGCTGAATGCTATTTCTGAATTGTGTTCTCTTTAACATTAACTATGTCTTTTTCATAATCTCTCATCTTGTAAAATGACAATGCCACTTTTACATTGTTGGATCTGTTCATTCTTTGACTTTTGTCTGATATATAGTTTTGAGTTCAAATTTTCTATACATTTTGGATTGCATGCTTCAGGAACAAATTTCAGGCTTGGTCTTCACAATAGGTTTTGAGGGGTGGACACTGAATGTGCCCTTCATCTTACAACAAATATTATTGCTGGGTTCTGCTAACTTTTTGAGTAGACAGCCAGAGATTGTGTAGATGTATGACACTATATACCTGTAGTATGTACAGTAGGTGAATGAAGTAGGCAGAAAGTCATGACAAATTTACATTTGTGTCATGCAATGAAATACACTTTATAAGGTCATTCAAGAGTTTTAAATAATTGTATGATGCAAAGAATTTATTGTTGATATAGTTGACACTTTAATGTCTTTGCAATCATATCACTCACTTGGTATTGACATACTTGGCTAAATCTCTTTTATATAACACAGTTTAGTCATTATCTCTTTATTGATTTTCTACTAGAGATCACAGTACAGATGATTTAAGGGATGACCCTTAGTAGTTTTGGGGGAGGTAGGTGTGCAATCATAACGTTTAATATTTTTTGTTTTATTTACTTGCAGGCAAGAAGACAAAGTCACGAGCCAAGTCCTAGCGGGACCAGCAGCAGTAATGATTGAACACATGCATTTCTGTAAATATATACACTGCCATATCATCGACTCAAGAAAGGAACCACGTTATTTGTGGATTTTAAATCGCATCATGAACCTTAATATGAGTAACACCTGAACCTAAATGGCTGCTGCTTTATTATGCAAAGACATTTCGATATTACTCAGGCCATGTATGATTCAACAACTGTGACTCGCATCTTGTATGAATGAGAATCATTCAGAATCCCGTTAATTGTAATGAAGGGTATGTCAGTGATTCTGTGAGCTCATACTGTATATTGCTATATTCAGTTAGAACCATATTAACAGAAAAGCTTGACCTCCGTCGGTAACATTGACTGACCAAAGAATTCCATAAATTTAAAATGTGTCAGTAGTTTTACCCTCCCCCTCCCCTAACCCAATGTTATAAAGTAAGGGCACAGTGTGTTAAACCGCTGACAAAGAGCACATGTCTACTGTCATCAACGAAGGAGACTACAGGAGATGGTCGAGATTGACTCCATTTATGTATCAAATACACGAGTATTTTTAGATGAGGTGTTTCAGCAATGTTTATTAATTTCTGGGCTGTAGTTATCTTACAAGGGTTAATGTCTTCATAACTGTGTCAGTGCGAGTCCCATGCAACCAATAGCATTGTTTTTTATAGCACGGCTAAAAAGATTGAGTACATCCTATAAAAAAAATGGACAAAATAGATAAGCTGCCAGTCATTGTGCAATATATTCATCTAGGCACACAATTTTATTTTACATGTGTTGTATGGTTACATGGGACCCATATTGAACAAGGTGTGTTCAGACTGTGGTGCTTCTAGGTACTAGATGACAGTGTTTCATTAGGTGTTAATAATGACTGTAAAAATTTCTGCATATTTATTTCTTTTTCAAATTTTTTTTTCATTTGAGATTTGTTAGTGTCAAATTGATGTCATGCTTACATTGTATACTCAACAAAAAATATCATAGGATGCACAAAGGAAAGAATCCAAAGAATGAGTCTTTATGTCATCATTGTATCTGTTGATATTTTAGTTGCATGCTATACCTCAATTATCTGTGCCTAGTCCATGCACCTTCACAGGCCTAGACAACTTATAAAATTAAAAGGTCTTAGATACTTGGCTAAGTTTAACATCATTTTGGACCAAATTATTGGAGAGCCTGAATACTAAAAATTGACATTATTTGACAGGGGCTACTGTAAAACAGGGTTCAGTTTGTCATGCATGTATGTGTTCATCTAAATCTGCCATTTTTTCATTCCATTTTCCTCAGCAGTTTATTTGATTTTTTTAAGTTTCTAAGAATTAAATTTTGACTGTTAATTTTCATTAAAATATAACTATATATATTATATATATATATATATAAATGTATTGTATACCATTTATTGCAACAATGAGAAGTTTTGTTGTTTGATTAAATTATCTGAAAAACTCACTAAATTACTGTTGCCCTAAATGTAGTTACTCTTGTGTTAATGGTTAAGTTAATGCTTTTTATTCACCCTGCCCCATGAAAGGCATATCTGGCTTTAAAGCAACTGATTCTGATTTCTGTTACATTGTATGCAGTAGTAAATATTAATGATACTTCCCAAGATCCCAATTTTTGAATTATTTTCTACATATCATTTTCATTTTGACGCAGTGAAGTGAGCTACCTCAGAAAGCAAGAACAAAACAAGTTTTTCAGTCCTCAATTTGTTTCATGCATTTCCCACTTCTTACCAGGTGTTTTTTTTATCTCTGTGAAAACTGGGCAATGTTTCTCTGATTTTCCCAAACAAAGAAAAAAGAAAATTTTATAATCTGTCATATCGAGTCAAAATGATCTTTGTGGCACTAAATGAATACTAGTTCAAATAATTTTCCAAAACTTTGCTTGCAATTTAGCTGAAATATAAGACATATTACACCTTGTGTTTACTTATTTGGGATCACAAAATGTAATTTTTGCTCAGTATTACACAGATTGATAAATATGTCAAAAATGCAAGAAAACATGCATGATTAACAAAGTTTTGTTACAAATAGAGGGCAGAGCAGAACAGAACGAGGCAGTATATTAGGTTAATGATGTAACATTGATGAAAACATGTCATTTTTAAAACTGTTTGATGCTGCATGTGATTGTGATATATCCACTATTGAGCATTTGTGTTCTTTCATATAACTGCAATTTAGAGTAAATCCTAATCTAATTTGGTTGTCTACTGCTGTATCAAACATTAAAAAAAATCATGTTTTTGTCCATATTGCATATTTAAAGCAGTCAACAAAAATTGTTATTTTGGACCGGATATTTATTTATGTGCAGGAGTTACCATAGCAATCAAGGAGGCCTTAAATAATCACACTTTCTGAAAAAAGATGCAAGAGTTTCAAACTATTTATTATCCCAAATTTTTAGAAAAAGATTACGAAAACAAACATATTTTCCCTATTTCTTATTACTTTTGTAAATGATTATTTCCAGCCATGGGTAGATATGATAAAACTTGTATTCAGCACTAAAAATACATGTATTTTTGTACATAAAATCCACCTTATAGCCGAGATGTAGCGTAATTTATATGTAGACCTTTGTACTCTACCAGTTAAATTAAAATACTGTTAATGATTCTATTTAAGTTAAAGTGAATTCTATCTTGTAATCAATTTTGGTATTTCAATAAAATAACTACTTCAGACTTTTTGCAAGTTTTCTTTTTGGATGCTTGTATGGTTCCATGGAATAGCGCCCTCAACATTTAAATTCTTATTTCAATAATTGTCTATAGAGGGCGACATTACTGATACACAGTTACTTTCTCATTGAGTGTCTCGTGTTGGTAAACAGGTTTAAACTTTAAAAAACGTATACCAACCCAGTTCTTCTGCCACAAGTTTAGAAAGACTGGTCCCAGCTTGTGTATTTATTAGTTGCCACCTATTACCTGGATGTATTTACATATGTTTGAAATTGACTAACTTGGAAGAAAGTGGGGTTTGATTTGATTGCCAATCAAGAAGCCTAACCCAGTAAGAGCATGGCACCGCTAGAGTACCGGTATATGAAGATTTCAAAAGAATCAGGCCTGTATTTTTTTCTGCGTTGATAGAAATCAACTTCTGGGCGGGCAGGGGGTGGGGGGGGGGGGTCAGAAGGCAGACAGTTTGGATATTTGTCTAAACTAGACAAGTTGAGTCAGAATTTCAAAAGTGGAGTTACAAGAACATGTTTGAATATTTACATACTTAATACACAAAATAGCAACAAATTACCTAACCAAGTAGGCATGAGGTAGATAATCATTAATGTAGTGTCAAAGTGAACAGCTATAACATCGATGCCTAATAGTAAATGAAGTAAAATTCTGATATTCCCAAAAACAACAAAGCTTAAAATCATAAGCCTGAGGAAATGTGGGGTGAATATAATCTACAAACACCATGGGAAATTCCAAAGTGTAATTTCAAAACAGTAGATCCAGTAAGTAACAGTTACTGTGTGTGCAAGTTTGTCACCCTCTGTCTCACAACAGTCGGGGCCAGTCTGTGATAGCCACCAGTGTCAGTTGAGAGGTCATTGATCAAGGTAATGAGAAAGGAATGTGTGATTTCCAGTATCCAGCATGTATCCATCACAAAATGCATGGGAGTTAGCTAAAGTTCTGATTATATATTTTCTCCGAAATCAGCCGTTTCAACCATGACACATGAAAGACACATGAAAGATTGTGAAAACAATCTCGGTGGTGCAATATAGTATGCATGTGAGCCTAGTAAAATACATTATGTGATGGGAGGCGAGTGCATGCAAACATAGTGAAAGCGTTGCCAATTAACTGTGTTGACCATGCATGCAGACTATGGCAAAGTCTTGGGTATCTCTACAATAGGGAATGCCTCAGAACCAGATAGTGTAGAAATAAGTCCTGCCAGTGCCTACATGGGCCACAAATTAATCTTGGTCACACTGCCCACAAGTTTGTTTCAAAGAGACAAAAGCAGAATCATCAATTGTTCCAACAACATCAGAATCCAATTTGATTCAAATTTCACAATGGGAGAAACGCTCACTAATCACTGCCACAAAAATGTGTAGGGCATTGGCAAAAAGGAAGTAGTGACAGCTACATGTGTAGGTGCTGGAATGTCTAAACACAGTCCATAGAGGGACTGTGGTTCAAACCTACTTGGTCTAGTTTAGACAAATATCTAACTAACCAACAGTGGTGGTAACTGGCTAGTGACTTCTAACATTTAGTCCCAAATCTTGAAAATTTATAATTTCAAAATTTTTTACAACAAGTCATTGTCAATGACACGTCCCCGCTCCGTTCATATTTGAGTGACATATACATTCAAAGCAGATCCTGACCGAAATGCACCTGCATATGTACAACACATTGTTCTAAATCTGAACAAAATCCATCCATGCATGACTGAGATCAGGTTCCGGAATTGTGAAAATACGTGATTTTGATGCATTTTCGGCCTTAAAATGGCCATCATTCAGCTATTGTTAAGCGGAACATGAAACAAATGCACATATCTATTTGTGACATGATATACCATGTGTGTGTGAAGTTTGAACTTGATCAATCCA